TTCCAGGTGGACACATGAAGGATCATGAAGGTAAAAGTACCAAGGAAGATGTGAAACGTCAAAATCCTTTTGAAAGAATCTTCAACAACTCCCAACGCAACCCTGGAACCCCCACACTCCAATGCCTTCTACTAGAGGCTCATGCTTCACCTTCGTTGTCGCAGAAATTTCCCCACCTGTCACAAGTGAGCTGGGAGAGAGGGCTTTTGAAAGCCTTCTATCTAGGTGGATATCTACAAGCGCCGTACTTAAGTCAACCCACGTCGCGTGAAGTCGACTCACTGCATGGGCACAAGGTTTCAGCGAGAAGTCAACATCAACCAAGGGACCTGTGAACATCAACCAAGGGACCTGTGAACCTGTGAACCTGTAGCGATAAGTAAACCGAGACTGAGATTATTGATTCTGTATAAGTGCCTCTGGATGCTCTCTTGGTGCCTCTGATTTTGTAAAACTGTTTCCTAGTGATAGACATTGGGATGTTTGATTTTGTAATCAACTGTTTGGCGCATTGGTCCGTGCTACTGTCTGATCGTATCATATCGTCGTATCGTCTCGATGATGTCGAGCCGTTGAATCATTACAAAATCGTTTGTTTTTTCCCAATCCAGGTTTAATGATTTAGATTTTGTATCTTGTTTGAGGCCTCGGGGTGGTTGATTTTGTAATTGTACTGAGCCATGTCAACAGAGTGCCTATGATTTTGTAAAGACTATATTTTGAGACTGGGGTAGTTGATTTTGTAATATCGGCTTGAGAGTTGTCCCTTGCCTGCGTCCTGGGGGGTTTGATTTTGTAAAGCTTTTCAGATTGGCGAACCTGGGGTGGTTGATTCTGTGGCACATTTTCCTTATAGAATCAACCTCCCCTGGACACAGCAGGAATTCGAGGGGGGATTACCCCGTTGACCAGTTAAACTGGTGGAAGCAATGGGTTACCCGACGGTAGCGAACCGTGTCCACAGCGTCAGTTATATTATATGCAATGAACATGCCCGTGGTATCGTGGAGCAAGGCGGTATGCCCAGAGTATGTCCACAACAGACCGCAGTTGCCAGCTACTATTGTAATGCATTGGCCAAACAGGCCGAAGTGGCCGCAACAAACCAACAGGATCGCGTAGCCCCCACCCTAAGTAGCCTTCTCTCCTTTTCCACTCTTGGTTTAGGCGGCTTTGACAGTTTCTTTTTT